GGAGATAATTATGGTAGTTGAACCACTTAAATTCTAATCAGTTGGCAGAGTGGTGAGTACTAACCTATCATGAATATTCATACTGGCTCTATGACTATTCATACCTCTCTCACAATAGGACTTCCATCCTGCACCACATTGATGAGAGTCATCCCCACATTGTGGTCAATGTTGATGGCGTGGTCTGTCCTTTCCGTTCCATTACCGATGAACGTTCCCAGTGCTATCACCGCCGATGCTCGGACCTGGTAAAACAGGTGAAAAGTCAGGCGAGGAAATGTGTTTGCAAAAGAGGGGTTCGTGTTTCAGATGAATGCAGAAATGTAACAAATTCAACGTCGCAAAATATTTGGTGCAATAATCAAAGTAGAAATGTGTTTCTATTAGTAGATTAACAGTACCAAAACCTGCCATGACATCACATGTTTATACGTAACAAAATGATTCATATTTACTTTAAAAAGTGCTTAAAAGCTTAGACAAATCTCCTTCAAGAACTGGTTGCACTTTCTTAACAGCTTTCAAATCATGAGCTATGAGCTGATGAAGAATATGAAATGTCTCTTAGCAGAAATGCCAAATTTCAAAGGTTATTTTTCTTGAAATGCAGTAACTTCACTATGCAAAAAGCTTCTGCAGATTGCGTCGCGTTGACTCACCTCTGGTAGTGGGTCACTCAGAAGCTTGTAGAGCTTCTCGTGGGCGCTGTCCCGGACGCCGCACCACCGCGCCGCATCAAACATCGTCCACACCCTGGCCAGACACAGGGCAAGCCACTGTCGCAGCAAGGGGTGGGGGTCGTTCAGCTGCTCCAGGCAGATGGCAATGACGTTACCTTGCAGCGCCGCTTCCTGTTTGGAGATTGAATTCAAATGATGAGATCTTTGTGCCATCAAAGAACCCCAAATGAACTTCCGTGGTTTTTTTTACGAAGAACTTTGTACAGTCCTCCAAAGCCTCCCCCCCACGGTGCAGGAAACCAACAGCACATTCTTTACACTGTGGAGGAAACCAACAGCACATTCTTTACACTGTGGAGGAAACCAACAGCACATTCTTTACACTGTGGAGGAAACCAACAGCACATTCTTTACACTGTGGAGGAAACCAACAGCACATTCTTTACACTTGACTTTTACTGGGCACTGAGCTTAGTCAGGTCAAACCAGAACTTCCAAATTTCTGCAAAATCCTCCAAGCTTTCTGGTGGATGACAAAGAACAGGTTGTATTCAACACCATGAGGACTGGCATGCTGGATTTGTTTGTTGGCTGAGACAAAAGATCTGAACTTTCTTATTGGTGTTCTCGACAGCTCCCTCCGTAAAGACCAGAGAACTCTTGCCAAAAACACTCCCATATGAAATTATCATTGAAAGTATTACTGTAACCTTAGTGGTTGGCAATGTGAAATGAACAAGCTACACTGCAAACTTGATCGCACAGTGCAATCAATTAGCAGCATGGCACAGAAGAGGACCACGCACCATCAAATGAAACAAAGCTCCAGGAGCTTTTCTGTTGAGTACAAAATGCGATAGCCGACACCGACTTCCTTTGACCAGAGAATTCTTACTTGGGCATGATTTTGAAGAATCCTACTCACCTGCCCATTTGGGTAGTCCTCAACAATCATTGCCAAGACAAAGGCTGCCATTGTTCTATGCTCGGCCTGTGTAGAGGAATGGAGGACAAACAGACCAAAGCGTCAAATTCCTGTGACTATTCGTCCATTCCATTTCCATTTCCTTTTGTTTTCATAAGGCTCATTTTTTCCATTTCAGTGGAAAATCAACCTCCAAAGACATCTGGGAAAACGCAAAGATGAAGTGAAAGTTGGTTTTGCCTCAGAAGAGTCATCCATAGAGAAGGCAGTATTCATATTTGGGGCACCGATCTTTGCCCCCCATCATACCAGAGTTTGCTTGAGTACGGCCACATAGGAACCCATGCATTGGGGTTTTCTGTTGCCTCCTTTTTTGTGCAAATTGTCAGCTCTTTAAGAGCAGAAACTGCAGAAACTAAACTTTTAAACATTTTCTAATTCAGACCCCTAGAAACATAAGTATGTCCGGACAGCAAATGTGCTCCACAATTTTCTCATTTTGGGGGGGAGATCTTCCTGAATTTCCCTGGCACTCACAGGCATGTATGGATCTGCTAGCACCGACAGAAAGTACTTGTGACCGTTGTCCTTCACCAGGTCTGCCTTACAGGACTGAAAACAGTAAAACAAAACTACGTAGGTTAGCCATCATCCACACTAATAGTCATAGTCATATTAATGCAATTTCATAAACACACTGTAAAATGCTTCCTTCTAAAAGCCTATTTTGACCTCTCCTGATAAAGTACAAACGTTTGAGAATATTCTGCTTTTGGACAAAATTAGCCAAGTATTTACTTGAATTAAACACAGATCCGGTTTTAGCAGATCTGATCACAAGCATAGCAATGCTTGAGCAAGAATCTAAAGATAAGGCGAATTTCAGCATGAAAGACCCAACTACCATAAATTTTGAACAAAGGCACCCCTCATACTCAAAATAATTTTTTTTTTTACATTTTGTAGCAGCATCTTCATGATCCACTAAAAAACTGCTCCAAATCAAAGCAGGAATTTCCCGTCACAGGAACACAGACTCACCCTATCTACAGCCAGTATCTTGGCCCATATAAACACAAGAAGAGGTCTGAGCTCCCTGGCTGAACTCTGAAGAAGTTTGAGAACGTACGGGAAGATACCGACTGACAAGGCCTTTGAGCAAAATGAAACAAAAATATGATCGAAAAGACAGTTATGACAGGAAATACCTTGACATTCAACGAGAGTAATTCAGCTTTTTTCAAAAAAATTAATAAATGGAGAAATTTAAATATAGAAACTGAAAACTGTTTTAAAAGGAAGATTAGATTAACCCAACCCCCACAGAAAGTGACATCCAATTGGAACTGGATAATGTAGGACAGTTAGAGTCAACAACACACTATGGAATTTTAAGAAACCTTCCTTAATCTGTCAAATTTTAACACTGGGTAGTAAAGCAGACTTCAACAAAATCGGGATTCCAAGGCCTTCTGTCAAGCCAAAGTATCTGGGCTCAACAACCTGAATCCCTCTGAACACTAGACCTTTGATTTGTTTGGCATACTAGCTGAACAATGTCTCACCAGGCTGACAGCCCATGGACCCAGGTCTAGAAATCTACCTAGGAGGTCTAGCGCTCGTAACCTGTGGACCTGACTTAGAAGAACCTGCAAAGACATGAAGCAAAATAATTCACTATACAGAGGTGAATAAAATTCATGACAAACTTGAATAGGGGGCAGTAAAATTTTGACATGTGGACTGAGGTCTGAAAACTTGTTTCAAAATACGAAAACAGGACAATCCTCGTAAGTTTGTCAAGGCACCAGACTTTACTGTGCATTCTTCCTGCAACAGACAGCATGACATTGCAGCTTACCAGTGAGCAGCGTTAAGGTGCCTTTTCAACAGGTGGATTTTTAGTGCGCACTGAGGTGTGGATGTCAAAGTTGTGGAGAGTGTCCATTTAAATGTACAGGAATGAACCATACATGTATACACAGGGAACACACAACAAAGGAAAGACCTCCTTAATTTCACCTGCAGTACGATGGGCAGCTGCTCCGGTGGGTCCCTCTTCTCGGAGCCCATTGTCAGCCAGACCTGGAAGGCTGTGAGCTGCTCGGCAAAGAAGGGACTGTGGACATACTCCTCCCCCTGCAGAAGGCCGGGGAGCTGGGCCAGACAGACATCTAGGGCCAGGTCCCAGGCTTGCCTGCAACCACAACCAAACCAGGAATGTAAGACACAGCTAGCAAAGCTCACTAATCAGGAGCAGTTAGTTTGCTGTTCTGAAAAGAACCAGTGGACTTGAGCTGCTGCAAGCTGATCTACAAAACCCTTTGACCTTGAGGCAATTTTGTCATCTAAAGAGGGACACGACTCAAAAAACTTGAAAGTGACAAAAAATGCCTCTTTTTGATGGGAAAGTAGCCAGTAAAATTACCCAGAGACTGCAACGTAACATGGAGATGCACTTACCACATGCTGTGTTGGTAGGTGGGCGGTAACCGTGGACTGGACACAGGAGAACAGTTGAACGTCCTCATGATTCTCTCTGCTAGAAGGAAATTCCGGTAAAGACTCGCCACCAGCAGGTCCTGCCTAAACAGCTTCTGGAACAACTCTGAAGCAAGTGCAAACACAGAGAAAAGATACGCACTGACGGATTTCCAGGGAAATAAGGAGGCGAATGGAGTGTTGTGGACTTTGTGCTTGAACAAGCCTTTTGCGAGTTAACTTTGACCCAAATCTGGTACACCGAGTTTTTTTAATTCACTTGAACATAACAACTTGAATTCTCCTTACTACAACCACTGTTGCTATACCTCGTGATTCGGGGCAAGCTTTAGCTTAGTTACATACATGTAAGAGACGCCTTGCAACAATACACTGTTCTCAATGGATAAGGAAAGCACAAAGGAACCAGTCCATTCCAGAGATGGTGGTCGCTATGCACAAGCTTGCCCCGAATCACGAGGTACAGCAACAGTGTCTTTAGTCAGGGGAATTCAAATTCTTATGTTTATGTGCAGTCAGATAACTCAGTGCACCAGATGTTATTTAATTTAATTCGCAAATGGCTTATTGTAAATAGCAAATGTGTGAGCTGACCAGAACCCGATTACTGAAGAAAAAATGTGCGTGTGTTGAGGTATGTTACACTTCAGGCACAAAAAGACCAGTTTATTTTTTTTCTTCAAAACAGACAATTATTTTACATTTTAGAGTCAGCGCAGATGGCAGTAGATTCTGATGGATGTGAAAAGGTTACTACTAACCGCAAAATACATAAATGCATGAAAAAAAAACACAAAGACATGAGTGACAATGTAAGGAATATTTATGAGTGATATTTTAAAGAGCAAAAGATAAATCTTGGAACATTGTCAATATGCCTTGAAGGAATAAATTAATAACGAAAATTAATCCATCTATCAAACAGCTGCAGCTAAACATGAAATCATCCCTGGGAGTGCTCCACTATGTGGACACCTAGCCAAACACAAGGCTTGTTGTTTACTAAAGGTGTTCAAATGAAGACCTCTGGTAGATCCACGTTAAAGCTACATGTAGTCTCAACATAATCTGGCCAATCCGCTAAAAGCTTGGTCCTGTAGAATGAAAACCCCTCTGTCGGTAAACGAGCACCAAGCCGTGGTCTATCTTACCTCTGGGCAGTACGTTCCATGCGATGGTGTCGGTGACAGCCGTGAAGATCCAGTTCAACTCTCCTAAGGGTGTTCTTCTGTCATTCAATCTCCCGGGTAATCTAAGATGCAGGGAATGACAGAAACACGCCTCAGCTACCGAACTGAAGCATCCTGTTTCTAATTCAAATATCCAAAGCCGCGTACTTTGCCTCAAAGAATATGCTCAGAACATACCGGTACAGCATGGTTAACTTAGAAAGATGTAGCCATTATGGGTATTTTCAGAGAAGGTATGTAGTATTGGGCTAACAGTATCAAAAGACAAAATCAGAACAGAAAAGAAATAGAAAACAGAAGCAATTTCACTTACTTCTGTTTTTTTTTTCATTTTGAAAAATCACCTGTTTATTTCATACAGTGAACAAAGCTTGAAAAAATCGAGCATACATGTACAATTTACTCACTTATCTACAAGTTCCACAGTGACGCCTGGTACTAATTCACTGCTCTTCTGAAAACAAAACCTACAAAGCAAACAATGAAATCAGAAGAAAAACACGCATTCACTTTACACACAAACTGCTGGCTGAATGTTTGAAATCCAAGACAGTTTCCTGGTTTTATCTTCAATTTCCACTTTTCTCTTTTCATTCAATATGTGGCAACAAAATATTTGATGAGGGAAACATTCAATGAATTGACATGTACACATCAAAAATTGCTAAAATTGCCAAAAACTGGCATCTCTTGGAAAACTGGTACAAAATTAAATCAAGTGAGCAAAGGAGGCGAGTCTTACCATCTCAGTGCTATTTTAATTGGCGTAGATAGACAGGCCGTGAAGAGGTCGGCAGGAAGCTCTGGATTCATGGGCAGCTGCTCGTTGGGACCACACGAGGCTAGCTGGATGCAATTCTTGGCTGGTGGGGGGATGGGCGGCTGGGAGCTGGACAGGGTGTGGGAGTTGATGGTGGCCAGCTAAATAATGACCAATTCAAAAAACAAAGATTGTATCAAGCACGTTGCTAGAAGTTTCAACAGTGGGGCTGTTGTCAAATCAGCACATTTTCCATTTGGCATCACAGATTTTGATAATTCGATAAGCCAAAAAACAGAATTACGGATCATTAAAATGGACATTCCCGACTGTCCCTGAGACCAAAATTTAACTATTACCATGTCATGTAACCAAAAAAGCAAAACAAAACATATCAAAACAAACACTATAGATAAATATATAGCACATATCAATAAAAAACTGATACATGTACAGGTATGTACCTTTTTCTAAATGATATTTCCAGAGGTACATGTACATTATTTGTGTTTATTTAGCTAGCTACTTGGGTAAAACATTTTAGTGGCCTTAACAAACAGAAAAAAAAAATTTTCCAATCTGTGCTCCCGCTCATCCTATTTCAAACACAAAGGTTCAGATCTGGAGCTCCGTGTACATGCACTTTTCTTGTGACCTTTGTGGCCAAGGTTCAAATCCCTCCAGTGGTATTGAAATGATCTGGAATTCCCGTTGAACCCATGTGGAAATTCCCGGGGCATTCTTCCAACTTCTGAAATAGGAATGTCCTTTCGTGCTCTTGCTGGAACAAAGAATCTGATTCCAAGAATCTATGAATTATTACCAGGCAAAGTAAACACACAAACAAAGGCAAGAGATTTATGATCTCAGCCAAGCCGGTCTCTCAGCTTATTTACATAACAGCTGAGCAGATCACTGCAGCCTGTCCCCTGCAGAAGCCTGTATTTAAATTGTTCTCCAATTAATAAATTGCCACAAGAATTCTTACATGTTTGTCCATTCTCCTGTATAGAGTACCGAAGTGTGAGGTCACTGTGAGCCAGAAAGTGCAGTGCAAATGAATGGAGTACGCACGCGTGTTGGTTCACGCGCTGGTTCTCGCGCAAATGCCTTTTACACACTAATTGTGCGCATGACGTGTTCACTTCGGTACTCTATTTGACCAGCAAGGCAAAACCGAGTTTTGAAGCTTACAGTTGCTCAGCGGGACAAATGAGAACAGTTACAAGGACAAGGGCCCACCACACCAGTTTGTTTTTTTGGCAAGAAGGGTGAATTATAAACATGTAGTTGGTGTTCAGAGTTGGGATTTTAATGGGAAGAGGTGGCTTGACACCCAGGAAAAGTATCTACCATTTGGCTAATGGACTCAGGCTCACCTGAGAAACTCTTGGTGTCAGCAAAAAAACAAGGAGGGTCTAGCTCAAGCTGTGTCTGTGTCATAGTAACAGACATTGCATCTTCCACAGTACCAATGATCTCAAGCACTTTACCATTATGTATGACTCCATTAATGAGGCCAGGCCAACTGCCAGCCAGTCTTGAAACACATACAGTTCCTGCCGTCACAGGTACACACATACTTCTGGGTGAGGAGAGGCAAAGTGACTTGCCCAAGGGCACACGTTACCAGCAGCTGGATTCGAACCCACGACCGCTCACAAACTCTGACTAAGCAGGACTCAGTCCCCACAAAACAAATTCAAATAAACCAACAAAAACATGACAAACAAACTGGAAAGAAATCAAAGATGTAATTACCTTTACCTCTCTCTCCTGCTCCTTCTGAAGGGCAAACTGCTCGAAGGACTCCAAAATGAGGCCGGCGTTGGAACAATCGTAGACAAATATGGAAGGGCTACCCATCCAGGTCTGGAGGTCGTAGACCGACAAGGGGATGTACTGTGTAAATGTCTGAAATCAAAGCAGGGAATTCCATAGATCAACTCCACTGATGAAGAAAGAACGAAGACGGTATCAAAAGAATTATCATAATGCTGGATTGCTGTAAGAAAGAATCCAATGTCTACCTCTATATATTCATATCACCCTGCCACAATCTCATGTGCAGGAAAAAGTGCAGCATTTCACTTATCCGGTCACAAACAAAAGAATGAACAGTGGCTGAGCTACCTTTTTGTCAGTTCATCTAAACATCTCGGGACTTTTGAATCTGACAAATTTTTGATGGAGCATTACTGCGATACACAGAGTATGCATGGAGGGCACAAAGCACACGTACACGCCTCAAATATTTCCACCGTGTTCTTTATATGAAAACTGTTGAAGGCTTTATGCAGCCTGCATCGGCTCACACATACATGTACACAAACAGTGTACAAATGTACATACATGTACATGGAAATGTACATGTAGCAAATACATGTATTCTGTGTGGATTCGTCAAACTTGGATAATGTAAATCCAACAAAACCAAGATTAAAAGTTACATATTTCTGGGTCTTGCAATCAACAAAAGAGGCAGTTTAACTGCACACTGAACATTTTCTTCATTCAACACCGATCAGCAGGCTTCTAGTTTCAGCCTCAGTGGCTTTCGTCCACTTGGTAGGATGCCCAGAGGAAGTCTGAAACAAGAGGGAAATGCCTAAAGCAAATTCCCAATTCTGAGCACAAATTTACACTGCCCTTAACATCAACATGTCTTGAGCAGTGATATCGAATCTTTGGTCTTTTATCAAATTCACTGCCGGACTCACATCCAAACAAAAGCACAGTACAAACAAAATTTGTCGACGGGCCTAAAACATGAATTTCTACATGTACATGCGACTGCATCTTTTATAATGACCCTACATGTACTGTATGTATCTCACAAACCACCTAACCCAACTGTTATTTAAAGCAGTTCTTCCAAAGCAATAAACACTGCAATAAATGAATGGAAATTAACAGGTCTTTGTTAAAACCAACTAAATTAAAATAGCATGATTTCAATCAACCTTGAGCTGCCACATTCCATTTTGCGTAAAACTGGTTTAACTCATGTCTCCACTCTACATGCACCTCTTGTGGGTGCACACACATTATTTGGTAAAATTTCAGAACAGTCAGACAAAATATTTCTGGAACAATCAAAGTAGAGACAGAATGCCCCTTTAATTCTCTTAATGGAAGTGATAAAAAAAAAAAGACGGAACCGGTTAATGCAGTATAATGCATACTTCTGATAGATAACAAATATCGCTCGTCATAAAATAATTTTTATTATCCTTTAACTTATCATATATAAATCCTAGATAAAGCCACTTGATGTTTGACCTCTAAAAATTCAATAAGGCAACTATGCAAGATGCCAACTGATATATTTCAATCAATTTATTTGTTAGCAAAGTGTTGCTGAACGCTACTTCCAATTACAAGCGGCACTTTTATGAGACAAGATTCAAACATTGTATACATGTACGTACGGTACATTGTACATGTGCATGACACTAACATGGTAAGAGAAAGCAGACTACAGTATTTATTATTGCAGTGAGGAAGCTTTCAATTTCCAATGCGTTATGTATGCATTCAAGGCTCTTTGTAACACAGAACAGCTACCCTTACCAAGTACATTTCATTTTGTGTTATTAAAGTGTAGTGACAGTCCAGTTTTAGTTCTGGATGCAAGTGATTTAGCTTTTTCTAGGGATTCTTATTTGCAAGGTTCCTGAATAGACAATGGGGGATGTACAGTTACCCGGAAGACAAAATACAGAAAGTGAACCACTGAAATGACGCGCTTAAAAGGTAAATGCTTCGTGGAGCGCTGTACTTCGTATCGTCCTAATCAAGCAGAAATGTCAGACCCAGTTGAGGTGCTACAATCACGTTTTGCATCTGGTGTATCTTTCAGCTGAATTTTTCCAGACACAACTCACATCTGATTGGTTGAAAAACACAGACAATGTAATGACATATCATACTTGTATTCTGCCCTTATGTGCAGTCACACTGGACATTCAGATGTGAGCAGAAATTAAGAGAAAAGAGTCTTTGTACTGCTGAACATGCTAAGAGGTGTGCAAATGAGGAAGGAAACTACTTTTTGTATTTCTGTCGATGTTGCACATCGCTGTTTCCTTACTTTTCGGGCAAGTGAGTTATAATAAGCCAACTGTAACCAGGTGACAGTGTGCAAAGGTGCAGTCACTGTGTGCAAACAACGGAAAGTGAAGAATTGATTAAAATAGTCATTTCTGGCTGTCTGCTGAAATTAAACGGTCCGTGTCTCATTCCTATTTTCAGAGTGAAAAATTGAGAAAACAGCTCAAACAAAACATCACCTCGCAGGATTGATAACTCTAACAGTCCAACAAACTTTCATTATAGTTTCACATTCACCCTAGGGGGTCAGGATTAACGAAACAAATAATCCTGCGATGAAACCCCATCCTTGACAAATCCACGATCCATCAATAAAACACAAAAGGTACAGTCAGCTTTTATGAACAATAAATCAACAAAACCTATGCCATTTTTATTGGACCAGTGTAAAATATAAAAATGTTACAATTCCGAGCTATTTCTGGCACACATTCATTCTAACAGACTTTGACACCGTCATTCTTTTTGTTTTTATTGCCAGCTGTTATGCAATGACTGTAGGAACCTGGACCACGGTGACAACCTCAACAACAGTTAAGGTTGACGTGATGTTGTGTGCAAATGTACAGGAGCATTCATGAATTCAGCCCTTGCTGTCTGATATGCATACATGTATAATAGGCAAACATAAGCATGTGGCTGCTTTGGGGGTTGTTAAAAGGCATTAAGCCAAACTGGATCCATTTCAAATCAAGCTCAATTACGGACTCATGATTTTACAAGTCTTCAACGACAACACCATACATACATGTACATGTACCATATGAAGGTTGGCAAGGCCAATGAAACAGCTGATTTACGAGTTCTTGTCGTTGAAGTTTAGTTTCCTTTTTCAACCTGATGAGAAATCCACTTCCTCTTTCATATCAATTCCTGATGCTGCAGAACAGTGCTCAGTGTGTCTTCCTGTTGCTCACGTTTGTTTTATTTTGACACAGAGATAAGGATGTCTCCAAAGTGCCAGCAAGCGAACAACTGTTTGTTTCTTCCACCATAGGGCAAAAATGACATTCATTAATTTCCCTTTTAATCCTTGGCTGACAAGACACTGGAAATAAAACGTAGCAACAACTGATCTACGGCTGGATGCATGTCATGAATACATTTAAACAGACAAGACATTCACTTGCATGTACATGTAAAGTTGTGAGAATTTCAATCCTTTGTAGCCCTATATCTTTGGGCTAGCTTAATTTTTCTTTTAAATTATCTGAATGCACGTAGTTCCCCATGAATTCTTTAATACTGAATACTGAATATATTAAAACTGGATTTTTTTTTCAGAACAAGTCATGGCTTTTATGACAATGCATTAAATTTGGGCAAACTCAACTTACAAACTTCTTTAAAATACTGCAACCTTTCTTTGAAAGAATCTTTTGGACTCTTGTCTCCTACACAACAAAAATATAATGTATCAAGTGATTACTTCCAACGGATGAAATTCTCCTTGAAAAGGTTACAGCCTTTGGACATGTCCAATGCATGTTTGTGCAAGTCAAAACTTGTTTATCGAGTACAATAGAGTCAATTTTACTGTGCAGATAAACTGAGAAAGTGTATTTCAACAAATAGCTAATGTCTGCCCAGCAGGTATCAGGAAGTGTGACGCTGTGTGCAATGTAGACCATTAGTCATGTCATTTTGGTATCAAAACAGCAGAAATGAACAGTGTTGCTGGTACGGTATGCCATCCTGATTAATCACACGACAATATGACCTGGAATCATAAACAGGGACAAGGTTAGGGAGCATCTTAAAACTTAGATTCCTTGGTTTTTCATTTGGAACTTTCCATATTCAAGACAGGAATTTTTGTCAAAGTCACAGCAGCTAGAATAGGTACATTTTCAAGGTTACTGCACATGAAGACAGAACCTTCTGGCAAGGCATGCCAACAATCCAATGCCCGGCCCTAACCTTCCCAAATCCTCCAAAATCCTACCTGCAAAAGAGGAGGGTTTGAAAGATGGAGGGCATTATGGCAAACAATGTGCAGCTCATTTCAAAGGAAGTGTTGTGTCAAGGTCTGGGGCAAGGCCTTGTGTTGTTAATGCTCAGCCGTGCATAAAAATCAGACCCAGATTACACCTGAAAACATCTGCATTGCTCCAGGATACGATGGCTCCATTGCCTCCAATACTGACCACAGCTTCAATATCTCCCTTGGTACATGTACACACAGCGGTTTAAGTGTGGCCAGAGTGCCATCTTTGTTACCTGCGATGCTGGTGCACCCATCAAACGTTAGGGCCCTATCTGAAAGGAGTTTCTAAAGCAACGACATGCGCCAACATATCTGCAGCCAGCAAAAAGAAATACCCCAAGCTCTTGACACAAACTATCGAGTTGGGCTATTGTGGTCAATCTAGCTGCTTTTTCTGTGATGAAATGGCATTGGAGCTGTACACTCCCGGAGGAGCTGAGATGGTATTTGAAATGTTCAATGGGCCTGATGAGCAGGGGTAATAATGATGTAATGCCTAGAGCACCAGTCCTGGTGGATACAGACACTTTATAAGTACTCATTAAGTTTCTGACACAGCCTTATCTGTGCACAAATAGACTATGGGGAAGGCAGCACTAGCGTATAGGCAACCAATTCCATTTTAGAGATCAAATATTCTGAGGACAAGGTCCCCCCAAGGACGGAGAAAGTGGGGGCGGGGAATAAAGACAATTCACACCCATGTACTTTGCACAAAGATGAATGACATTCCGTACATGATTTGACTATGATAAACAACTAACTGATCTAATTTTACCCTCTGAATGCTTATCCTCATATACATGACTATCCCATCACTGGCTTTTCAGCTAATCCCAGGTCTGGTGCCTACCTTGTTGAAGACCCATATTTCCCCATTGGTGGTGGGCCTAGGCACGCCATGGCCATTGTAGTGGAAGAGAACCCGTTCTTCTTTGGCATTGCGTCGGAGGGATGTGCACAGCTTCTTGACTTCCTCTACCGTGGGGTCCAGGCAGAGTTTGTAGCGGGCCTGTTGACAAAAAAGGCGCCAAGTATTTGGAGACGATGGACAAGCTAGAAACTGTTTTCTCAACTAGCCGAGTAATTAATTAACAGCAACTTATTTGCTTAAAGATTCAGTGTACCAATATCAACTGCGACTCAACTTAGGAGGAAATAACATGTGACTTGAACAAATTTTACTGTACATTACCAACTTTTGTTGAAACAAATAACAAGAAACATGTATATCTTTGACTTTCCATAAACTAAGCCAAATCCTGTCTGTTTTTATTATTCTAAAATTTCTAGCTGGGAATATCAACATATATGAGGATGGAAAAAGTCAAGTAGATAAATCGATTCTGATTTGCTAACCTCATTCATGTGCATGTGAGCCGCATAATCAACAAAGGATGTCAGAAAGTGAACAATTTCAGAAAGGCTTTGGACATAGGACACAACTTGGCCAGAATGACTTGTGACTTGACTCAGAAAAAAGAATTCTGACTTAAAAAATTGATCAGGACTTGACTCGTAGAAAAGTGACGTGGTTCACAGTACTGGAAGATTGTCTTCTCTCCATATTTGGCCGCAGGGTTCAGTTTAAGAGGGTCCGTCCTGTAGGAGGACCTCTTCTGTGCCCTTTTTTCTGCTGAAGAAATATCTAAATTGGTTTCATTCGTGACCAATGCTTTCTTTCCATTTGGTTTTAAGAGTGCACGGTTGTGAAATTTGACATGAAGCTGAATAGGAAGTGATTCTTGGATTGGAAAGAGGTCTGTGCTTACCCGTGGTTGCCAACGTTCGTACTGTTTCTGTAGATTATTTCCGATGGCTTCTAATGCTTTCTGTGGGCTCGTGGATAATGGATCTGAAAATGAAATTAATCAATGAAAGTGTTCATCACAAATAGTTAAATTTCTCTTAAAACATTCCACAACACTGCGCTTACTTAATGAAAGACAACTTTATGGCTTTTCTTAGAGAGAAGTCTATTTGACAGAGCACTGTCCGTGTCTTTCACTGTGGTATTTGATCAATTTTAAATATGACTGCTATGGTAAAGTATATCGTCCTTTTTAGCTGTTTCAGACACCCACCGCAAGAGCTTTTGTTTTCATTCACTTTCTTTTTCTTCTTTTCCCCCTCCTTTTCCACTTTTTCCTCATAGACATAACACGAGGTTATCATGATGTCATCACCCAATTTATTATAGAATTTTTAACATTTAAGTTTTTCCCATGGGTTTTGTACATGTTTTTGCAAGCTTTTGGCAAATCTTTCATCTTCATCAAAGTTTGAAAAAGCAAAGCCTGGTACACCAAAAATGTACTTAAGGAATGACATCATGATGACAACATCAGGCGTCAATTACAAGTGCGTTATTCAACTGCTGAGAAAAAGACATTGTTAAATATATGATCCTGCAAAATATTTGGAATGGAATAGGAGACGGATTACTCTTCCCAAATATTATAAAACCCCAAAATTGACCTCCACTTCAATAGTTATCTCTGAACCCTCAAAATATGAAAGAGCGGAATGCGACTTTACTTTCATTTTGTCGTGATGGGTCCCATATACTGGTGGCATGACTGAGTTGGAAACTAGACATGCATGATGGCACCAGACTAGTCGCAAAAGCTGCTGGTAACTGCATGCAGCTGGGCCAAATGGCACACAATGACAAAGTCCTTTGATTGTTCACTCCACAACCAACTTTCAGAGAACCTTTGTTCACAATCTTTGCAATCAAAGTGTCGCCTGCTCAGGCATTAGCCCTAGGGGCACCCATGGCTGATGTAATCTAGTGTAAAATTGTTTCGCTTTTACCTATCCAGCATTCTAGCTTAGCACACGGTGACGTCTTGACTACATCTGGAGGATCCACTCCAACATTTAGACACATGACAAGGGCAACGCTGACAGTTTTCATCTAGAAAGGAATAACAGTAAAAAATGTGAAAGAAAAATACAAAAATGCACCATAGCTTGATCAGACAATTGTTCAGATAGTACACATAAACACAGGGTAATCTAAGTGATTAAAACTGACAGACAGGTTATGAAATTCAAGGCTGTACAAACAATTCCCAGGAGTCCTTTCATTTTTGTTTGCTTTAATTTGTCATGACTGGGGAAGTTGGGTCAGCAACACCCAGTCGCTAATCTCACTATCAATTTACGAGGCTTTATTGATCGGTTGAATGTACATTAAAGTAAAAGGACTGTGCAAATGGTTTGTAGCAGAGTATAGCACTTCTGAGGATTCTGGAGGATTCATCTCCCCGAAAAAAATCTCTCAGAACTTTAACAAATTCCACATTCTAATGAAGGATTTTTGAAGAGTTGAGGATGCCTGACAACTTTACACAGTTTGACCATAACCCCTGGAAAATGCAGTACAGAAAGCAGAAAATTGAGAGCGGAATGATTTGACCGAAAAAGTAAAAAGGAATTACCCACTGTGCAGAACTGTACACACGTGTCAACCCAATCCAACAAAACCAGTAACAAGTCACCAGAGCCACTTTTGTGTTAAAGCCTTTCGGCAGAATCTTGAACAATGTAAATTTATAAAAACTCTAAGCACTTTGACCTCCACTCTGAATTGATGATACATTAAGCAAAACGGCTCGACCTATTCTCTCTCATGCAAACTAAAACAAAACTACTGGGGAAGATGGCCATACAGGAATGCAGAGCAGTGACGGCCAGGTCAGGAAGGATGTTATTACTGCTGTTGCTAACATATCTCACGACAACAAAACACCAACAGTATGCCAAGGCAGGCAGTTGGAGGAAATGACAAGGGTACTGGGAGGTAGTGACAAGGTCTAGTTAACGGGTAACACCTTGCCCTGCTTGGTGTTCACACTTGATTATTCTTGTCATTGCTTACCTGTTAGGTGCTAAGATCTGCTGTTTGGACTAGAGTTTCACCTTGCACCAAACTGAATTCATTCTGTTTCTAAGTAATTTTGAAACGGGTGCAGACAAGTTTTGTTTTTGTCCCAGTTTTAAAGCCCAACTCCAGCGATTTCAATTTTTTTCAGTACTGATGTGCCAATTTCAACAGCTATGTCTAATAAACCAGGAAAAGTCGAAACCGCCTTTTTGTGTTCATTTGTTGTGTAAAAAAATGCATTTTGTTAGCGAGAGTTGATCCGCTTTCATGAAAAGGAGTGCGACGTCATGACTCATTAGCATCTAATGAATAGCAAATTCTGTGATGTTTATACAGTGGAGAGGGTACGGCAGCTATGCGTGCGAACGTTGCTATGCATGCGAACATTGCATATTGTACTGTATACGTGTACATTGGAAGGCCACGCGTGCTAGTATTTCGGAATCGTACACCACATTTAACATGTTTTCAGGTTTCTTACTATTCATTATAGAGCTACATGTACATGTACATTTCCCAGGTACATGTGAATAGGTCTGGGTTTTTGGTTCACCATAAAAAAATGCAATAACAATATACATGCATGTGAGAGAAAAACAAACCAACTTTAAGCAGGGCTGTTATAACTTTGAGAACAAGTTTTGCTTGGAACTTGGAATTCTCAGACCCACCAATTTATTCTTTGTACTCTTGTATAGACTTGAATAAATATAACAGAGACTGAGTTCTTCCTTTCTAAATCCAACCAATTCTCAGAAAATTGAGGATGGATCTACAATGTAAATATCATTGATGGATGTGGTGTTAAGGTTGATAAAATTTTATGCAAATCAATTAGTATATTTTATTCTCATCAGTTTTCCTCAAATTAATGACATGAAATTATTTTCAAACCAGTTCGAAATGATCCCTCGTGATACATGTACTATAGAAAACACATACATGCACTCATCTTTCAGTGACAGGTGTCACAACAGAGTTTATTGTCGGGGGGGTTGAATCAGGAGCATGCAGGTTTGCCATTTGCCACCAGAAAAACACACACGTTTATGACCCAAACAGATTACGACTGTTTTCTTCCTTTTTATCCTAAATGGATTACAATAATTTTTCTTCCCCTTTTACCCATTTTTCTCACTTTTTGGACTATGTTAGATGCTAGGGACATTTAATCATCTTACAAGTACATGTATATCATTAACCCTAACCGCCAAGCATATTGTTTGGCTTACACTGCTCAGTACCACAAAATACTAAGTAGTAGCCTGAGCCTGAATTACTTCTTCTGGCTAGGCTACTTCCATTGTTACTTGTAAAGAGAGCAATAAAGCCATGCATTCATAGTGCCACAGCACCATATGATACATTGTCTTATCTATTGTATCTT